TTGGCTCCTGGCTTTATCTCATTTGTCCTCCTCATCTTCATCCTAAGATGTTCATAAAGAAACAGATGTGTATTTATATTTTAGAATTCTGGGGAAATTGGGCTTTTCTTAACAGGTTAACAGTTTGTGCTGGTCATAGGAAATTAACCATTTTTCTTTTTGACAGGTTTGCATGTGAATTAAACCTTTCTTAATGTTTGATTAAATAATGAAAATAGTCATTAAGTACTGGCAAATCCTGTATCCAGATGGCCAGCTGTGACACACCACTTAGCTGTGTCAGCTTTGGTTTATAGTGTTGTCCTATTAACCTCATGGATGATTTTCCAAGATCGGGGGGGAAAAAGAGAGCTCCCTGTGGGATTATAGATAGTTCTTCACTGTCCATCTTGGTGCTAGGCAGATGGAATAGTATAAGCAAATTCAGACTGGCCGGTGGGTTCAATACTTGTCACCTCCCAGGATTTGCCTTGGGCTCTGAGATATTTGTGGACCATGACCAATCTGAACAGGCAGGTCATCTTTTATCCTTTCTGAAGCTCCACCAGGACACCTACAGCCTGCTGCTCCTCAGTTAAAGGTGGTTGCTCCCTTTGCTTTGATCTTTGCAGATCTTTAAATTGTATCTGTTTTTATGGCTAGGCAAATATGATGGGTGACCAAGCCTACCTATATCCCAGCCTCCTAGCATAACTTATTTGAAGTTATCAGGGAATGTCATAAAATGCTGACTTTTTGCCTTATGCGATATTTTCCAGTTCTCAGAGTTACGCCCAGGGAAGTATGTCAAGTTAACTAGAGATTAAATGGTCAGAATTCTATTTATATAAAGTTTATTAAAATATCTGCTCCTTCATTTTTTGAAGGAAATAGATATAAGGGACAAGTCTCTCTTTTAAGCCAGTTTCTTCAATAATAAAATGGAGCTGTTAATAGCTACACTGCAGAGTTTACAGATTAAATGCCCATCTATTATTAAGTAGATGCTTCATCCATTTGAATGGATTAAATGAAAATAATTTCATTTAAAAAATTGTAACTTGCAGAACATCCAAAGATTACATTGCTAAGAAATAGCAGTAAAATCTCATTGTAAGTCAGCTAGTTACTAATTTTGATTTGAATGTATAACAGATTGAATCACTTTTCATAATCAAAAAATGAAGGAGCAGATATTTAACATCTAATGATTACATCTTGAGCTATGGCTTCAAAACAAAAATTAGTTTTTCTCTTCTGCCAAGTTGGAAAAAACACTCTGTCATTTTTCCAATATTCAGTAAGTAACCTTGATACATATTTAAAGCCAAAAATTGTTTTCTTCACCTACTGGCCTTAGTTTTAGCCCGAGTACTATTTTCCTTCCCTTAGCATAGCAACATGCCACTGGGCAGATACTTCCATCTACTTTTTTTTTTTTCCATTTACTTTTGAGCAAGAACAATACCTGCCAAAACGTAAATCCGAAGAGTACCTTGGTTGTGTTTAGAAGGACATAAAACTATGTAGTTCCAGTGCAGTCCATAAAACTTTTTTCTTTTGCCACAAGATTCTAATTTCTGGCTGCATTCTCTTCCATCTACCTTTGGCTATCACTTTAGAAAGAATTAGTTTCACACCATTATATTTTTGTACTGAATGAAGAATCCATATATGGGAACCAAAAGCACATCCTTCATGACTTCTGCTAACATCATAAGACTGATACTCTGCAGTAGTAAAGTCAGACTAAGAGAGAGCCCTGAAACTGGGCCATTTAGAACCATTTGCTGAATGTTCAATTCAGCCACCACCATTGGTCACTTGAATAAATTGCCCAGCATCTCACTATAGAGACATCTGCACTCCTGATGACTTGTAAGACTAGCCAGTTCTTCAAAGACCTTTATTTCTGTTTTGAGGACATACAGCATGAATGCTCCACATAGAACACTTTATATGTGTTAAGCAGAAATCAGAGGAAAAAAAGCCAGGCCTCTTAATTGGCTTTTTAATTTTCCAAGTCAGTTTGTACCTCTCCCAATGGCTCTCTCATTAGCAACAAGTGACACACTCAGTACTTTATATCTGTGCCAAATTGTATGCAAATGTTAATTCACCTTTATTTCAATGGCTTCTTTTTCCTTCTTGGATTCTGGGTAGACATTACAGGATTGGATGCCTACCCACTCCCTTCCCTTCATTTGCTTAGAAAACTTCCTGTTAACTAGAACATATAAAAAGCCTGTTTCCCACTGAGCAAATAATGATATCACCTGATGTGAAAGGTGCTCATCTGTGAGCTCAGAGCAAATTACATTAATACTTTATTAGGATGTTAAAGAAGATCCTCATTTGAAGATTTTTCTTGTGTTGTCATTTTCTCTTTAGAAAACTGAAAGCAATTTGACTTTGTTTTAGGGGAAAACTAAGTGAAAAGTTGTTTGTGTTAATCTGATTGAGCACTTGTTGGCTACACCCCTTGGAACTTTCATGCAACAATCCTCACCACCTGAAGTCATCTCTTTTATTTTTGTGATATGCTGATGATTAAGGATCATTTGTTTTTCAGTGATCTTCAAGTGAGAACCAAAATAATAGTATTAAAATAGTTTAAAAGAAGTAGATCAGGTATGATGGTTTAGACATAATGCAAAATTCAACATAAAGCAAAATTCTAGGGTTAATCTGAACTTTCTCTACACAGAGGATTTTTCTTATACTAAGGAGAGTGAGGTGTGAGAAGGAGGTGTGAGTCAAAGAAAACTAAGAGACCAAAAACTTAAGTGCACAGTGCATGAAATATCTAGGTGCCTATAGATAAGTTGTTCTACTGTAATACCAGTACCTTCTGAATTTAGCTAAAACCTCTTAAAGTGTCTAAAATTTTTAAAGTTTTCTTATGTGTTCTATGAGTTCCATATTGCTTTGCTCTTGAAAACAATTATTTGTTAATATTGGCAATATTAACTTCTAACCCCACATTTACATAATAGCAAATTCTTCTGACCTGTGATTTAAGATGTGCTGCTAGATAAGCATTTGTGTAAAATTGATGTTTCAAAGAGAACCAGTTACAATTGTAATTTGCAGCTATGTGGCTATTTGCGGATCTACCTCTGTCTTACATTATGTGCCATATCAATGTATAATATAATTAGTTTGACCACTTCATTTGTTTTTCAATGTCTGAAAATACAGCTTATTCACTGTGCTCTAACCATTTGCAAACAGCAATTAAAATTTGGTGTAATGTACTTAAATCCCTTAATGAAAAAGAATAGAAAATGAAAAGGGAAACCAGGCGGGTAGTGCATACCTGTAATCTCAGCAGCTCTGGAGATTGAAACAGGAGGATTTCAAGTTCAAAACCAGTCTCAGCAACTTGACAAGGCCCTAAGCAATGTAGTGAAATGCTGTCTCAAAATAAAAATAGAAAGGGCAGGGGATGGGTCTCAGTGGTTAAGCACCCCTGCATCCAATCCCCAGTACCAAAAAATAAGAAACGAAAAAGAGAGAAAAAAGAATCATAGCATCACAATCCATCTAACTGGAAAATTTCAGTGCTGTTTTTTAGATTGCTGCACTTCCTTTACGAACAAAGAAACACCATTTTCTTTTCTTCTTAACATCTAATTGTAGTTCCACATGGGGGAGTTGCTGGTGTAGCTGAGGTTACGTGAGCACGCCACTAGACTCAACCATTTCTCCAAAAACTCTCAGCCCAGTCTGCTGCATATACCAGTAAGGCTACTGCTTTACTTGACATTCACATTGAAAATTAACTTAGGTTTGAGGTATGAGGCGTTGACACTGTTGAAGGACAAGTAGAAAGTATGAAGGATGACAAGTCTCACCAAAGTACAGTCCTTTCCTGATAGAGCAGCAAAGGAGAAGACTTTAAGCAGTAGTGTTTAGCTACAGAATTTCTGTCATTGATAAATATTTGATAAACATTTGGAGTAAAAACTAAGCAGTACTGGCCCCATTTCAGTGCACTGTAAATATCTAATATTGTTTCTTAATGTCTTCATTTATCATTAAGTCCTGTAAATTATTCTCTGTTTAGATTGGCAGTTAGTGTAGAAAAGGTTGATCAGCCAGGTGCAGTGGTTCAGGCCTGTAATCCAAGCAACTCAGGAGGCTGAGGCAGGAAAATTGTTAAGTTCAAAGTCAGCCTCAGCAATTTAGTGAAATCCTAAGTAACATTGAGAGACCCTGTCTCAAAACAAAAGATAAAAAAGGCTAAGCATGTGGCTCAGTAATAAAGCACCCCTGGGTTCAATCCCCAGTACCAAAAAGAAAAGAAAAGATTGGTCACCATATTTCATTCTAGAAAACCCTAAAACCCAAACAAGAAATTTAATTACCGGCCTACAAGTGCCCTAAGCTTCCCCCATTTTTTTTTCCTCTTGACAGCTGTCAGTATTATAGTATTCCATCACAGGTCATGCGGTGCACTGTGCTCATTGTGACCTGTTTCATTGCTTATAATAGCACAATGTCAATACTTGAACTAGATTTAGTCTTTGGTAATGTGAATATTCACAGAATTGTCATAAAGCTTTTGAAACATTTCTGGCATCTGCAAATCATCACTTTTAAATTAAGTTTACAGAAGTAATTCTAAGGTTACTGCAGAGCACATTTATTAGAGAAATCTTTTAAGCATACAAATATAGTTCATTGAGAGATATCAATATTGATTGTGAGATCACCTGCACCTAAAAGAAAATTATAAAAATGTATTATGTTATAAAAGGGTGCAGACCAGGAGTTGGCAAACTGCAGCCCAAGGACCAAATCCAGTCTATGATAGTGTGGCCTGTAAGGCAAGAATGGCACTTACATAAATAAGTGTTATTTAAACAGAAAGAAAGTCAGAAACAGCATTTTCTTGGGCTCTGGCTCTGGGAGTGTGTCTCCCCTGCCCTGGATCATCAGCAAATGAGCAGTGTGGAACATGGAGGCACAGCAGTACCACCTGACTGCATTTCTCTAGTGTGTACTTGTCAGAATGAAAATATTCTGTGCGTTTTCAACTCTACTCCCTCTGTGTTAAATGTAATCAAAGTCTTGTGTTTAATATTTACACTATAAAATCATTACTTCACATCAGTTTTACTAGATTGGCAATAGCCTGCTGCAAAGTGTCTAAACCTCAGAGGAAAAATTACTAAAAGCAAAGTTCATGATTTTATTTGTTTTATAAAGGGAATCTAAACCAGGTGTGGTGGCACATGCCTGTAATCCCAGCAACTCGGGAGGCTGAAGCAGGAGGATCACAAGTTTAAGGCCAGCCTCAGCAACTTTCTGCTTCAAAATAAAAATAAAAAATGGTTGGAGATGTGGCTCAGGGGTAGAGTGCCCCTGGGTTTAATCCCCAGTATCACAAAAAAAGATCGAAATAAAAGTTAAAGGTAATTTTATTTTATACTGTAAAATCCAAACATGCTAGTTGCATTCAGTTTTTGAGCTGACTTCCAGAAATTTAAGATCTATTGACCCTATTTTTTTTTTCATATCATATAAAATGTGCCACATGGTATTTGTCAAGGCCAAAAAAGCTGCTATGGTCATATATCCTTTTTTTTTTTTTTTTTAACTTTCTAAAAGGACAAGTTCAAGGTTCTTTTCACAGTTGGTTTTTTGTGGCTCTTCTTTCTAGAGCTAACTTGTGCATACAAATTAATAATCAAGCTTATTTTTAAGAGCTAGAAACTATTAGCAATTTCTGTTTAATGTATCAATTGGGCACTTTACAATCAAGCATTTCCATACTTTTAATATTTCTAACTTATCAGTATGACCAACAGATAACCCATTCAAATTAATGTTTCCTATTTCATATTTGTAATAAACATTTGCTCTGCTAGCTATTATTTAATAAACATATAAATTGTATTAAACCTTTATAAGGAACTAACCATTTCCAGGTAATCTCAGATCTGCTCATTCTCTTTTTTCCATTTGATTTGCCAATGCCATAATCATTTTTCTAGAAGAGAGTAGAATAATGTATTTTTATCTAATCTATAATCTAGGCTGTATTTCAGCACTCATTACTTATTGTAGGTGAAAGTATTAAATGATACTATTTCAAATAAGACTCTGATTATGTTTTGTCCCTGGTTTATATTTAAATTATCAATAAATTTATAAGAGGCAGGACTGTACCTGGGGGACTACACCTCTACACTGCACAGAGGCACCAATTTGAGGAGAAGGATTGGTGGGGGGACTCAGCTTGTCAAGATGCATGTTGTGGTAGGTGGCACCCCAGAGAACACACCTTTTGCTAATTTGGTTAAGGGAGCAGTATAGGCCAGCAATGATCTGTTTCATGAGAAGGACATTCAGTAATTATGCTGGGTCTTTTTTGCCATTAGACTCCTGACACTATGCTGCAGTACCTTTCTATGTCAAGCCTTAGTAAGTTACAAGACTAAAAGCTAACAATTTTACAATTAAACCTTCATGAGGTATAAATATACAGCATCCTCAACTATAGGAGCTCTAAAGTAAACAACTGATCCTTCCAGCTTTAGTATGAAGGTGGGGATATCAGGAAGAGAAAAATCATCCTGCCTAAGCCACATGTGTCTATGGTTTCCTCTTTAACAATGACCCAAGTTCCATCTACAAAATGTAAAACAAATTAGAAGTTCTTGCAACTCGTTACTTTACTAAACCACAGCTTTTCAAATATTAGCTTTCCTAGCCAAGCCTACTGGAATATGGGTAGTTTCAGTCACTGCTGACCATATGGTTGATTCTCCACCTAGTCCTTCCTTTGTGTGTCAGGGAGGGGCAGCTTGCCTGGATCAACAGATGGGTGCTGACAAGAGGAGAACCAGGAACCTTGCCTGACAGAACATAGAAGTGGATTTACAAAGCAATCTGGGCTTTGTGAAGGGGATAACTGAAAAGGAGATGGTATGCAGGGCTTAAAAGAGCATTATATCAACCCTGCCTATAGGGTGGACTGCTACAATGGACTCCTGAAATGGACTTCAGAAATTTTTCAAAACATCAAGGTAAAACTCTGGGGATGACATTTTAGACCCTTCTTAACTTCTCTACATCTTTACTCCCAATGTTTACCCCTTTGTCCACTCTAAACCTTGAATATTTCCCAGAATAGAATATCTTGTTTAGTCCTCACCCTTTTACACTTCTAGTATGCTGGGGAAACTCCTTACCACCTTCATATCCCAAGTGACAAATACACCTGTGAATTTTTTTAATTCCTCCCTACCCCTTGAAGTTGGTGTGATCTTGTAATACTTTGACCAACAAAATATGGTATGAGTGCCCTCGTGCAAGACCTGGAGCCCAGGGCTCACCACCTTGGAACCCTGAGACCACTATTCCAGGAAGCAACCTAGGAAGAGAGAGCACAGGGGTGAGGCCAGTCATCTCAGCTGAGCTAGCCCAGGGCTCATCACTACTTGAATAGGAATAGCCATATGAGCAAGTCTAGGTGGGTCCAACACAAGAATCTCCCATGAACTCAAAGAATCTAGAGAAATAACGAACAGTGAGTGGCAAAGCCATTAAATTTGCAGGATGCCTTGTTCAGAGCAATAGATGCCTGATATAGTACAGATCTAATGTGAAGTCTTTCCTGGACCCTTCAGGCTCCCTTTCTCCATTTCCCCTTCTGTGTTTTGTGCATGTTACATGATTTTATAATCATTTTGTATCTGGCTTTCATCTCCCAAGACATGGTAAGCCTTTTGAGGATCAGGACTGAGTGATTCATCCCTGTGTCCCAACAACTCACAGAAGTCAGGGATGAACCCTTGACTACTTGTCAAATTCAGACTACTCAGGAGCTATGGGTATAACTCAGTGATAGAGAGCATGCTTAATATGTGCAAGGCCCTGGGTTTGTGCCCACACACACAAAACCACTATACACAAAAGTCATTAAATGTGTTTAAAAAGTGCTCCTATAGTCAGCTCAGAGGCTCACTCCTGTAATCTCAGCAGCTTGAGAGGTTGAGGCAGGAGGTTTGTGAGTTCAAAGCCAGCCTCAAAAACTTAGCAAGGCCTTAAAGCAACTTAGCAAGACCCTGACTCTAAATAAAATGTAATTTAAAATTGGAGGGGTGGGGCTGAGAATGTGGATCAGTGGTTAAATACCCCTGGGTTCAAATCCTGGTACAACAACAACAAAAAATATTGAACATTTTTCATGCAATCCATTCAACAAAGATTTCAAAGCACATCCTATATTAACAGAATAGGTGCTACACCCAGCCAGAATATCTCTCAATCAAGCAGGGATAACTGATTGATGCAGCACATCATTAGAACAGTTCAGTACAGTCATGTATATTACATGGAGAATACTCAGCAATTGCTAGGTGGAGAGGTCAAGAAGAGTCTCCTAGATGGGGCTGAGGTTGTGGCTCAGTGGTAGAGTGCTTGCCTAGCACATGCGAGGCCCTGGGTTCGATCCTCAGCACCACATAAAAATAAAGGTATTGTATCCAACTAAAACTAAACTATTTTTTTAAAAAGTCTCCTAGAAAAAGATTTAAATCTGAGATTAATCTTAAAGAGCAAGTAGGCAGTCACATTGGCTAAGGAAGCATGTGGATGCCCTACCCCTGAGGAGGAGGAGGAAGAAGGATGGCGTGGATTGGTCAAATTCAAGGATACTGAACTAAGCCACCGTCCTGGGGGTGGAACCTAGAATGTTAGGCAAAGGATCTGCTCCAGTTTGGGGAGGGCTCCTGTCTTCTCTCTCAGACATGCAAGGTAAGATGGGGACCTGGGTTTTTTCCTATTGGGAAGGAGGTACATTTTCCTTCTCCCCACTCTCTTCACCTTACAGCACCAAGCAAAAACCAGAGGGAGCTCAAGGAGAAAGGAACCAGGACTCAGCACTGCATGGGTCCAGTGTAGCAGAACCCAGTGGTTAGGACTTCACAAGATTTCTTTGCCTCCCACATCTGCTGTACAAATATTGCCCCATGAATCCCCCGGAGTGGTAGGGGGCCAGTGGGTGGCACAGGAATTTGCTTCAGCCATAATGGCTTCAAATCAGTGGCAGGAATAACCAAAATAGTTCCTGGAAAAAGAAGAGAGGAATTCTAGGCAGAGTGAATAGCACAAAAAAAGCATAAAACAGTAAGAGTGAAGAAACACCTGCAGTTGGAACACTATAAAGAAGCTTTACGCCACACTATGTGAGACTGCAGGACAGTCTCATATAAAAATGATCGGCTCAACCCACAAGCACTCGTGTGTTAGCCAACTGCTTACATGGCTGAGGTGCTTATTTCACATCATGCATGGATCTGCACAAATTAACCCATAATCCTGAGACACTAAGATGAATAACCTGTCTGAGATCCCACAGTAAGAAACCTGATGCTCAAAGGGGTCAAATAAATGGCAAATCTGTCCTCTTTCAACAACTTTTCGACTTTTCGAACTCTGAAGCCATGGCACCTACAAGGAGATAGGATCTGTTGCCCTGGACTTACCATGAGGTGGTACTGGAGCTGAGTCCTGAGAGACAAAGGAGCAGGGCCAGCCAAGATTAAATTGTGGGCCTCCAGGGCACCTGGAGAGTGCTTTGGGAAAAGAGAAGTCCAGCAAAAAGAACCACAGAGAGGGCGCCCAATGCTTCCCAGCAAGTCTAAACCTGCAGCATAGTGTCCAAAAACAGAGCTGAGCAAGCGACCGCTGCCTACAGGAACGGGACCTGGCTCCTCACCTTTTCCTCTCATATCAAAAGTTGGCTGTGATTCAGTTTCCTGGGTCAGGTTTATTAAAGTAAATGCACATGTCGTAAAATAAGATTCAGTGTTGCATTAAGGCTGAGGTGAGGTTATGTCTTTCTAGAAATGATTTGGTGTTGGCTGGGGAAGACAAGGGAACATTCTAAATATTTTTAGTTGTAAATGAACACAATACCTTTATTTTTATGTGGTACTGAGGATCGAACCCAGTGCCTCACGTGTGCTACACAAGTGCTCTACCAATGAGCTACAATCCCAGCCCCAATAATTATTTTTAACCAGTATTTGTAAGGCGCTCTTGGTCCCACCAAATTCATATTTCATTAAGAGTATTTGCTTAATTTTTCAGATGAGGAAACTGAAAGGAGCTGGGACACAAGCCTAGTTATTCACACTCCAAATTCTATTTTCACTCATTTTTTTTCTTTTATTCATAAACTGCCCAAAAGTGCCAGGCACAGGACTCTGCACTGAGTACCTATGATGGTAACAGACATAGCTCATCTCTTCACTCCTCTTCCCTCGGTGCACCAAACACTGAAGCAGGACCGGGTGAAGAATGATACCTATAGCTAGCATTTCTGGCTGAGCAGTTAGATCTCTAACATGAGGTTCTCCCACTTGTCTTGGACCAGAGAATGAGAAGGCCTTGAGTAGGCAAGAGCGCCAGGTGGTCAGTCCAGGTAGGTGAACAGCAAGAAAAAGCTTCAGAGTAGGAAGAGGCTCGGTAGCTGAAGGCTGCAACTTGGCTGATGGTCAGGGCAGATGGCACCCAGGGAAGATGGGGAAAAGATATAAGGAATGGCATGAACATCTGCACAGTTCAGAGACCTCTCATCTGCAGCAGAGAAGGGTTAGGATGAAGGGAGAAAGTGGGAGGAGAGATCATGCAGGAAACTATGTCATCACAGCAGGAGACGCCGGGGTGCATTGGCCTGTTGAAAGGGGAAATGGAAAGACATAGGTTGATGAAATACAAGTTAGAAGTGACTGGGCTTAGTGCAGAAATGAAGGAAAGGTGGGAGTCCATTGAGGTTTTTGGCTTGAACAACATGGTGAAGGAGATCATGCTGAACAAAGGTGAAAGGCTGATCTAAGAGACCTCCTACCACTGAAAGTCACTAGATAGGAAACTGAGAGCAAAGGGAAGTGAGACGTGGTCAAAGATGAAGGGGGAAAGTCAGGAGAGTTAAACCTAAAACAGAGGAGTGTTTTTTTAAGAAGGGAGTGTTGGGGAGAGAAGGAGAGGGAAAGGGGAGGTACTGGAGAACAAAATTGGCCAAATTGTTATACTGTGTGCATGTACAAATATGTAATGGATTCCACAATTATGTAAAATTGCAGTGCTCTGGTGAAGAAGAAAAAAAGGAAATGACAATGCCCCATGCATGGTAGAACTCAATGTCAAAGTTTAACAGGACATAATTAAAAATGGGATTTGTCCTGTGAGGTCTTTAGGAAGTCCTCACCTGAGGCACACTGGGCAGGCTACATGTATGCAGGGGACAGAAAGTAATAACCTAAGTAGAAACAGAAACAGTTGGGACTGGGGATTGACAAAAGGTCATATTGGATAATGGTATCAATACCAGTGGTCATTAATGCTCATTTAATGCTCACAACAACCCCCCAGGGTGGGAATTTACTGTTAGATGAGAACACTCAGACCCAGAGATCTGAACTGCCTTGTTCAGATGATACAGTTCTAAGTTGGGAAGCCAGAATTCTGTCTACTTCAGTGCTGTGGCCTCATACTTTTTTGATTGGCCCCAAAGTGGGAATAGATTAAAAGATCCAAGCAAGACAGAGATGGGGAGGAGGGAACAAACATGAGAGAGGTGTAGGATACACAATCAACAGGATGTGGGAAGTGGATGTAAGCTAGAGCAGAGGAGAGAGTCAGGACTTCTGACTGAAGCAGCTGGGTGAACACTGGTACCACTGACTGAGGATACAGATTCACAGCAAGATGGAGATTGACTTTGGACATGATGAGTCTGCTGGGCCTGGATGACTTCCAGGGTGAGCCCAGGCAATGAGATACACAGAGGTGCAGGTCAGAAGAAAGTTCTGGATTGTAAGTGACCTGAGATACCTCAGTGTAATATTGAATTTTAGTTTCTTTTTATATCTTAGCAGCAGCGTTAATAAAAGGTTCCGCATGCCTGTAATCCTAGCAACCCAGGACGACAAAGCAGAGGATCCCAAGTTCAAGGCCATCCTCAGCAATTTAGTGAGACCCTGTTTTCATAAAAAAAAAAAAAAAAAAAAAAAACTAAAAATAAATTTAAAAAATTTTAAAGGACCAGGAATGTAACTCAGTGGTAAAGTGTCCCTGGGTTCAATTCCCAGTACCAAAAGGAAAAAGAAAGGGCTGGGGCACTGTGCTGGGAGAAACACAATAGCACAAGAGTGGAATCCCCGTGATGTCGAAATCCCCCCAGCCCCGCCTCATCTCTGACTTGGTATCCCCACAGATGGCTTTTCCCTGCCGAAGGTCCATGAATCCCAAGACTCTGGCCTGCCTTCTGGTGGGCATGAGTTTCTTGGCACTTCGCCTCTGGCTCCTCCAAGCCCCGAGGTCCCAGCAGGAACAGAATGGGGAGGGCCCCACGGACGCTAGCGACACTCCCGCTGCTGCAGAACAGCCCGCTGCGCTCCAGCTCCATCAGGGGCTCCCGTGCGTGGCCAATGCCTCCGCGAACCGCACGGAAGACTTCGAGCAGCTACCGGCAAGGATCCAAGACTTTCTGCGGTACCGCCACTGCCGCCACTTCCCACTCCTCTGGGACGCGCCAACCAAGTGCGCGGGCAGCCATAGCGTCTTCCTGCTCCTGGCGGTGAAATCGTCGCCCGCGAACTACGAGCGGCGTGAGCTCATCCGTCGCACGTGGGGACAGGAACGTAGATACAGAGGGCAGCAAGTGCGCCGCCTCTTCCTGCTGGGGACCCCAGCGCCGGAGGAGGCGGCGCAGGCGCCGCAGCTCGCGGAGCTGGTGCGCCTAGAGGCGCGCGAGCACCGCGACGTGCTGCAGTGGGCCTTCGCAGACACCTTCCTCAACCTCACGCTCAAGCACGTGCACCTGCTGGACTGGCTGGCGGCGCGCTGCCCGCAGGCCCGCTTCCTGCTCAGCGGCGACGACGACGTCTTTGTGCACACAGCCAACGTGCTTAGCTTCCTAGAGACACAGTCGCCCGACCGCCACCTCTTCGCCGGGCAGCTCATGGACGGCTCAGTGCCCATCCGGGACAGCTGGAGCAAGTACTTTGTGCCCCCACAGCTCTTCCCTGGGAAGGCCTACCCAGTGTACTGCAGTGGCGGCGGCTTCGTCCTTTCCCGCCACACGGCCTGGGCCCTGCGCACAGCGGCTCGCCACACCCCTCTCTTCCCGATAGACGACGCCTACATGGGCATGTGCCTGCAGCGCGCGGGCCTACAGCCTAGTGGCCACGAAGGCATCCGGCCCTTTGGCGTGCATCTGCCCGGCGCCCAGAAGCCCTCCTTCGACCCCTGCATGTACCGCGAGCTGCTGCTAGTGCACCGCTTCGCGCCCTATGAGATGCTGCTCATGTGGAAGGCACTTCACAACCCGGCGCTGAGCTGTGGCCAGGGACACAGGGTTTCCTGAGGCTGAATAGGCTGCGCTGCGCTGGGTTGATGAGTGGCCTCAGCCGCCAGGGCCTCCCCGTGTATGATGAGAACGTGTCTTCCCTGCTCTGATACATTGTCCTGCCCAGCTGGTGCATCTGAATCCCACCTTCACCTTGAAACCACCGCGGGGGAAGGGCCTGGAATATTCTCCTGGCCCCATCTTCAGGGCTTCTGATCTTATTGGTCTGTAGTGGCCCCAAACATGTACGTGGTGGTTTTGGTTGGGTTCCTTGGGTGGTTCTAAGGTGCAGCTTAGATTGAGGACCGCTTGGTCTGGGATGTCTGTGTACCCTCCCAAGCCCAGCACCATTGCTCCTCCGCGAGCCTTCAGCATACCTCGCTCCCACCTTCTGCTCGTCATGAACAATGGAATAAGGGAGGTGTGGGGACCAGGATCAATTTCACCTGTCACATGCGATACAAATATTTGTTGAGTTTCCTTCTCAAATGAGTCAAACCCGAGCTAGACTGACAATCATCAGATGACTGCCCTCTCCCAGAAGCCACTTTACATTTGAAACTGAGGAGCATTAATAGCATTCCTGCCATGAGAGGTCAAAAAAGGCCTCACGGTGCAAAATGGAAACTGAGACCCAGTCAGGACAGGAGGAAGAAGCGCTATCTAGGCGACCTTTCCCCCAGCCCTGATCATGGACCCCCAGTAGCCACAGCCACTTGACCTTTGCTGGCCTTGCTTATAAGCAGGTCATAGCAAGTACTTCCTGAGTGCTTTAGGAATGAAGGAATGAGCAAATGAGTACCCTTTTGTTCTAGCGGTGTGAACTGTATCTGTGAGAACGCTGTGTTGGTTTCCTGTTGCTGCTGTAGCAAATTCCCACAAACTTGACAGCTTGAAGTCACCCCCATTTATTATAGTATGTTCTATCATCCAACACTGGTTTCACTAGGCTAAAATCAGGGTGTTGGTAGGACAGCATTTCCTTCTGGATGCTGTAGGGGAGAACACATAAGATAAGGGGAAAGTACAATAAATTTGACTAATATGGCATTTAGAATTTCTGTTTATCAAAAGATGCCATAAATCAGGCATGGTGGTGCACACCTGTAATCCCAGCAATTTGGAGACTAGTTTGAGGCCAGCCTTAGCAATTTAGCAAGGTCCTAAGCAACTAGAGAAACCCTGTCTCAAAATTTTAAAAAAAATATATATATAAAGGACTGTGGCTGTAGTTCAGTGGTAGAGCACTCCTGGGTTCAATCCCCAGTACAAAAAAAAAAAAAAAGGATGCCATAAGAGAAGCTGGGTGCAGTGGTGCACACTTGTATTCCCAGCCCCTCAGGAGACTGCAGGAGGAAGGCAAGTCAAGGACAGCCTGGGCAACTCAGCCCAGACACTTGCCTCCAAACAAATAAAAAGGGCCTAGGGATAAGGCTCAGTGAAAGAGTACCCCTAGGTTCTATCCCCAGTACCAAAAAACAACTACAACAAACAAACAAAAAAATAGCAATGTTATGTCTCTGTACTTTGCTTCTGTAGCCAAATCTTTCTCTAACTCTTCTGCCTTCTCCTTCACTCCCCTCCTCCTGGTGCTGGATATCAAACCCATGTCCTGGAGCATGCTAGGCAAATTCTCTATTTCTTCCACTTGTGAGGACACAATGATTACACAGGAACCACCTGAATGGTCCAGGATTCCCTTCCTATTTTAGAGCCAGTTGATTAGCAACCTTTGCTCCATCAATAACCTCCCTTCCCTTTGCCATGTAACCTAATACACTCAGGTTTCAGGGACTAGGGTGAGGACATCAAAGGAACCATTATTCTACCTACCATTGTGCCCAATAAATATTTATGGAATAAATGAACCATAATGAAAAAATGAGTAAAAGATGTATTGTACTTCCTTCTCATAGACCTCTTTGATGCAGACTCTCATTTTGGACAACTGTGTCATTAATCTTGAATTCCCTGCCCCAGATGCCATTTGCCCAGTAATTAAAAGAGGCAGGAAAACAAGAAGACAGAAGGCATAAGCATCTTCTGGAAAATGAATTCTGTTTACACAATATCCTCCCATTTCCCTGACCTGCGAGGGATTATCCCCATCTTACGGAAAAATTCAGATTCAGTAACTTTATGGCTTAGGTGTGTCCGAAAACCGCAGTTATGGGTCTGCTGTGTGATTCTGGGTCCTGGTCAGTCTGTCTCTGTAGCTGGGTCGCTAGAGTGGTCCGGGGTGGTCCGGATGCTGGGATGGCCACGCGGCCGTAGAATCCTGGCATTGCCTACAACCATTTGGCAATCAGGGGCATCTGGTGCCACCGCACTGCACATACTGCCCGGCTCCCTGAGCTCATGCGACAAGATACCACCAGGGGGCGCGACCCACACACCATGGGTCATAGACGTTGCTCTTCATTCTATCGGGGACTGGGCGTCGCTTGCGTCCCTTCCCTCCAGGACTGC